TTATTATTATTATTATTAATATTATCAACATAATGAATTGTGCGCTGGTCTATGGAATCGAAAGTTGTCCTACTCTAGGCTAGGCTCTACACAGTAACACAACTTTTTTGCAAACTATCGAGATGACACAGGCGTGCATTTGGACGAATAAGTCTTTTTTTTGTTGTTGCACAGTTCATAATATTATTATGCAGGCACTTCAGGTACCACGTGTTACTTCTCTTTATACATTACTTGCTCAGTGCCTGTAATCATTCATATACACAAAACCTCATGTTTGCTATAACGAACACTCTGATTCAACGAAATTTTAGGTCAGGCCCGCCGGCCTCGTTGAATTCGAGTTCCACTGTAGTGCCTTATCAATTTAATCAATGTAATAAAAATGATCCTATTTGATAATCATTTTTTATTAGTTACAGGATATGTAAACGTAGTCCCCGCTTATAACAGGGTTTGGGTATAACAGGGACATCACGTCGGTCCCAGCAGTTCTTTTATAGCCAGAGCCCACGATCTGTGGAAGGCATGGGCTTGTCAGGAACTTGTGGGCTGGGTATGGGCTAGACTGCACATTTTGGGATCTCCTAGAGGAGGCGGATGTTGGTAGTAATGGTAGCCTACATGTTTGGCATGGTATTGTCAGGGACGTACGGGCAGGACACGAGATAGTCCATCATACCACTGTCCCCGTGGTTTTATGCACCCTGCATAATTTAGCAAAATTTGATCATTTTTGAATAATTTCTTCTTTTTTTCTCTTTATCATTCTTTGTTAAAATTGACAGAATCGCATAATTTCACATTTTTGGGGGCTCAGTTTGCATAATTTCTGAATTTTTCTTGCATAAAACGACGAGGACAGATACCAGATATTTCTGATTGGTACGGGTATATATTCCACGCAATACGTCTCTTGAGTATAAAAATTGGGTGGAGTGGATATGGGGACCACGCGGGTACATCAGAAACGTGCGGTCTGCATTCGGGATGGGCATGGGCGGAATCATAAGGTCCCCTTCCTTCGCCCATGAACAAAACCACTTGATGCAGACTGAAAATATCAGATGGAGCCCATTTGCCAGCTAGCGTCAGATCTTTGTGGAGACTGGGTTGTATTTTACCGCTTCTCTATACATGTATTGGGAAACTGGGACTTTTAGTTCGTCTTATTATGACTTCTTCATCACCTTCACTTATCCCGAAGTCTGACTGATCCTTGGGCACACTGTAGATTTAACACCAGCACTCCTCGGGGTTTTCAGCTTGCAGTAGTACATGTATGATGTTCCAGTCCTGGCCAGTCCACTCTTTTTTATGTTGTCTTCCCATCGTTTCCTTTATCTGTCTTTTTGTCCCCCAAGTTGTGCTGTTCCCTGTAGGATAGTACATGCATTGGCCAGTTCAGATGATCGTGTGACATGCGCCGATACTACATCAGTTTGCGTCTTTTCACTGGGAGTTAGGTCTTCGTTGGTTCATTCTCATACGGCCCATTGACAAACTTGTCTGTTATCAGCAGTCATCTGTATGTATCATTTTTTTTGTTATTCAAACACGATTTGTTCTGCCACTCGAGGAGACCATGTGGCAGAGCAGGTTAGGTCAATCTGTGTCAAAAAAGTCAATGAAAACCTGAAAGCATGCATGTTTGCTTTTAGACCTTTCTTGTATGGTATCTCTACAGATGTTCCTCCCACTCAGCGACTCTGACTACTTTGTCCACTTGATTCTTAAAAATTCGACATGGGGGGGGACAGGGGACTTGTGGATATGGAGGGGGGGTAACTGGAAGAATAACGTTATGATTTAGTAAAGCACCTTTTATTGGTGATTACTTCCCTTAATTTTCAAGATGACAAAACCATTAAAAAGAAAAAAAATTACTTATGTCTTCTATTTTAACAAAATATTTGTTTTTCTCCACAAATCAAAATTGTAATTCTCCTTCGCTTGAAAAAATAAGAGAAACTCCTCAATCTGCAACCCGGTGTTTTGTGTTGACAAATTAATGTCAAAAGACAGAAAAAAAAGTATCTGATCAGAAGTGCTATTAATGCACATGGAGGCTAGTACCCAAGGTGAAACCTTCACAATCCTGGACGTTCTGCCTTCTCGACATCAATGGTATTCTGTCCCTACTAAAAAACCACCTTAAAAGATGAAGACCTAGTTTTCTCTCTCTTCACAAAGAGATCTTGCTCACTCATCACGAATAGAGTTGCAGCTCACAAAGCATCCAGATGAATTTTAACATCCCCATCAACACAATTAAGATCAATTATGAGTATGGTCTGAGGTGGATGTCTCTACTCCTGCCTCAGGACCAATCTGACTCAGGTTAAGTAAGATTCTGCACCCCAGAAGTATGAAGAAATTAAATAGCTTCCCTGCTTGAGTTAAACTCATGTCCTCTACATGCAACAGTGAAGAGCCTAACCTGTACACCACAGTTGTTGGTGCCCCCAGGATAACAGCTGTATTTTAACAAAAACAGGTCTATGGATAAAAGCAGGGTGACCTTATCTAGGCAACATGTAGCCCAAATAAGCACTAACATTACATAAATGTATACGGTATAAGTGATTTGTGTCTAGTTGCATGATGAATTTATTATGATAGTAATATAATACAGCAGAACAGCATAACAAGTCCCATTACACTTAGAAGAGATAAAAACATTTAGTAATATTGAAAATAAATAGAAAAAGTGAGCCAGACAACACTGACCAAGGGCTTTCCAATTCAAAAAAGCATTTAAAACTAAACAGTAGATGACAGTAAACAAACAGGAATGGAAACATAAGACTTGTTTGTTTGTTTAGTATGGGGTTTTACGGCGCTCGCAACTGCATAAGGTCATATGAGCGCGCAAAACACAAGTTAGTTTTGTTCACAACAGTTCACTGTACGGCTGGCTTGGGTCAGTAGTTAGATTTGTTAAAATCTTTTTTTAAATCAGTGTATATATATATATATATTATATATATATATATATATATATATATTCAATCTAAAACAATTTTACTAGATAACATAAAAATTTTAAATAGTACAATTTCACTTTATAATTTGCCATAAAGGCCAATGGCCTTCATAAAATTCAAAATTCTGTTGGGACCAACGACGGAAAAAATGTCTTGCAATTTCATGCATTTATAATATTTCCTTCGGATCTCTCCAAAGTCCAGACATTCGGTTAAGATGTGGCTAATGGTAAAATCTGTGTTGCATTCGACACAGAACAGCTTCTCATCTCCTTGTAGGAGGTATTTGTGGGTCAGGGCCGTGTGTCCGATGCGCAATCGAGTAAAAATGACTTCGTCTCTTCTGGAGAGGTCCGAAGGATTTTGCTGTTCCAGTTTGGGTTTTATATTATACAATTTGTTATTTTCCTGTTTTTTTCCAATGGCTCCCCCAAAGATTGGAGGTGTACTTTTTTACTTTATTTTTAAAGTCAGTCTGTGGGAGAGTGTTTGTCGTTGATCCCAACAGAATGGATGAGGCTTTCTTCGCCAGATCGTCTACCTGCTCGTTTCCTCGGATGCCCACATGGCTAGGTATCCATGCGAACATGATGTTTTTTCCTGTTCCAGATAGTGTATGAATTTTCTGTTGTAGCCTAACTATTTTTGGGTGTAGGAGTGTGTAGTTTGTGAGTGAGGTGATGCAAGACAGAGAGTCAGAAAGGATAAGGAAAGATTTGTTAGGAGAATTTTCTACGGAGTCCAGTGCCATGTCAATGGCAGTGGCCTCCGCAGAGAAAATGGAGGCTTCAGGATGGAGTCTCCTCTGGTGTGTACTGTTGGGAGATAGGGCTGCGGCGCCCACTTCATTGTCTTTTTTGGAGCCATCCGTGAAGATGAGCTCCGCACCGTGGAGTCTTTTGTATTCTGCTTTAAAAGTTTTGGTGCTTTCTTTGTTGTGTGTGGTCAGCTGTAAGTCTACTTTTGCCTTGGTGAGGTGCCACGGAGGGAGGTCGGGGAAAAGAACTTGTTGGAAGTCTTGTTTGGAAAAGTGTAAGTTTTTGAGGTCCTCAAGGATTCTGAGGCCGAAGGGTTTGATGAGCTTTTCGTTGTTTTAGAATTTGTTTATGGTTTCTGGGTTTGTTTTAAAAATGCAGTTGTGCGCTGGATTTTCTGGTGTTGAGCTCTGTTTAAATGCGTATTGTAGTAAGAGTTGTGTGCGTCTGAGTGAGAGCGGTGGTATGCTTGCCTCGGCCTGGAGTCTCTCCACCGGGGAAGTGCGGAAAGCCCCCAGAGCGAGGCAGAGTCCTTGGTTTTGTACTGGGTCTAGCATTTTCAGGATGTGTGGTTTTGCCGATCCATAGACTTGACAGCCGTAGTCAAGCCTGGACCGGACAAGGGAGATGTACAAGAGGAGAAGTCATTATTGGGACCTCTACGCAGTGCTGCAGACCCCGGAACAGGTACAGCTCCGGGCCGAACGCCAATCAACCCCTGGATTCAGACTCGCACTGTATGAGTGCCCGCGGGGGGAAGCACATCGAGGCCCACTTATGGAGAACAATGCGAGACCGGGCCCAGATGTACTCTGGACGAGGCCACTAGAGGTTGCCGCTTACCTAGACTGCCGCCCTCCTGACGGAGGCCAGCCAGAAAAAAAAGAAGAAGAAGGTGTTTTGAGTCCCCGCCCCACTCAGGATGCGATAGAATTTTCAAAGCGTTTAATGCTTTCTGGCACCTCACTCGAAGGTCTTTGATGTGTGGTATGAATGTGAGTTTTTTGTTGAATGTAACGCCGAGGAAACAAGCTTGGTCCTGGATGGGAATCCTTTCCCCGTAAGACTTGGACATTCAAAAACAAACTAAAATTAAAACAGAAAGAGCAAACACTTGCATTCAATCTGGTAAAAATGATTAGGTTTAATAGTACCAAAGACACTCTCTGTAGAAGTCTGCAAGCCAAAAAATAAAACCCAAACAAACAAAAAACAAATCAGGGAAAAAACAGATGACCCTAATCTCTGCTATCACAACAGCACATGGTCCAAACTCTTCTAGTGACAAAGCATTTCTGCCATTTGTCTCATAGCATCACTTATCAAGCTCTCTGCCTCAACTGACAGGAAAGCAAATCATAACGCCCATGACTGCCCCAGCAACAGGGTAAACTATCAGGATTGTGACAAACATCAGGTAAAAACAAAAGACACAAGAGTAACTATAACTATAACTATTCCAAACATATCAGATGTATAGGTAAGTAATACAGCGAGACTGTATCAAATGTTTACAAACAAGGTCCAGTCCAGGGCACTGTAAAATAACAAGAAGTGGGGCTCATATCAAATCACAGTAAATTGCTCATGTCTGTCTATGGTAATTCATACAATATTCATTCACCCTTAATCTTAATAATATCCAAAGGAAAAATAAGCACCAGAGAGACCGAGCTACTTTAAAAGACAAAACACTTGAGTAAAACAATTGCTAAGGAAGTCACAGTCAGAACTTTAAAAAACATTCTTCTAAACATGTCCACAAAGAATAAACAATGCATATATCCCATTGCAACATTCATCATGCATCCAAACCCAATCAAAGAGAAGTTTAAAACAAGAGTATGTCATTTTCTGTCCCCATACGGCTTGCCTTTCAGATTCAGATCACTGTAGAAAGGTCAAGAGCATTTAAGAAGCAGGTGGTTGAACCTTTCCTTGATTAGCCACTTTCGCTACAGCAGCATTAACTTCCTCGTCTGTGGCCAAGTAGTAGTGCTTCACAGGTCTCAAATCTTCTTGCAGTTCATAACAAAGCGGGATGGCTGGACAAAAAGAGGCAGCCAGATGAAGGTGAAAGAAGTATATTAGATAAATGCCATAGCAGGCACATCAACTAACATCAATTTGGTATCTTTTGTGAATGTGTCACAAATACTAAAAATGCAGAGTAAAGAGATTCATAACATTTCCTTCATCCAATAAGGTTCACCAATTCCTAAAAAACATTAATTGTGACAACTTGTAAAAGACAGCAAAACTATCATTTTAGTTACAGACTTATAACTTAGAACATTAATTATTTTACAGCATGCAATAAGCTCATAGAAAGTTACTGCATTATTTTCTTAAACAAGCCTAGTTGAGAAAGCTTATTTTGCTTTTCCTTGGTTGGCCACTTTGGCCTGAGCCGCTGCAACCTCCTCCTCAGAGGCAAGGTAAAAATGCTTCACTGGACGTAGGTTCTCATCCAGTTCATACACCAGAGGGATGGCTAGAAGAGAACGAAGAAAAACAAACTTGGAACAAAAAAACAACGATTTCAAATTTAACTCAAAACAAAAAAGGCTATTTTAACACATATTGCCATAAAACCATAATCCCAAACATGAATTCAACAGGGATAATCAAACTTCAATCCCGAAAGAACCTTGAACATTCTAACTTAACTTTAAAAGTCACTGGCAGGCCCATTTAATGAACACTTATAAAAAAAACCTTTAAAAAAAATTGTATTTAACTTTCCTTGACAAATGGTATAGTCAGACGTGAGTGAATGACCCTCAATATTTTTCATAAAATGTATTTTTCAAAATAACTTTGAAATTAAACTTGGATATCTGGAAAAACTGCACTTATAAACACTTCCATCTTGTAAGTCAGTCAAAGATCAATTTCGGCACATAAACATACCCTGCAGTTCCTAAAAACAGACAGGACAGCATCCCACAAAATGAGGTCATTGAAGAACTGTCAAACATAAGACTGTATTTTTTTTTTAAAACAGTAACATATTTATCCCAACATCCTTATCATTCCCACCAGCTAAAAACTAATACAGAGAATCAAAACGAACAAGAAAACTTAAACATAAAAAATAACAAGAGAAAAATGTGAAGAGAAGCACTCACCGGTGGGGATGTTGAGTCCCACGATGTCTGTGTCAGACACGTTGTCCAGGTACTTGATGAGGCCCCTCAAGCTGTTGCCATGGGCAGAAATCAACACTCTCTTGCCAGACTGCCAGGAAAGAGTTATTTTCAAATTTATGCAACTTCAGTGAAACGGCTGTTATTCTCAGAGTTATGTGGTTTCAATGAATGGAGAGTTTATTCTCAAAATTATGTGTTTTCAATGTTTACGCTCAAAAGTTTTTTTGTTTGAAGAAATATCCATTGACCAGGGTCTATACAGTTATGGGTGGGTTCTTTGCCTTGTATGCAAAAGAGTGAGTTAAATTTTCATGTGAAGAATTTTCTTTTAACACTTAGAGTACCAAAGGCTCAAAATAGTGAAAACCCTTCAAGTACCGCATCAGTTCAGAACGCTGAAGCCATGGTAGAATTTTTTTTTATTAAAAAAACCTTGGAAGCCCAAGAAACACGCTTTAAAAATTAATAGAGGTTTATCAACCATTCAGCTATCATATAAAGTGAGTTCCTTTGGTATTTACTTCAGTGCAGTGCATCCATTCGTTATTTAATTACGTTTAGTGAACCTGGTTGTGTCGGTGACTAAAGTCGCCAGCGGTAGTGAGCACATACTACGGCCTGGCAACTAAAGTCATCTTTATGCTTGGATGTAGTCCACTCAGCCCAAGATAGCCCAAGGTCAAAGCAGTTTACTCCCCATGTAAAACATTTACAATCATGCAACTACCAAACTATTTCCCAGTGCTTACAGCTGGTCTTAAAAAAACTTCTGTCTCAACACAGTTCTTGACCTAAATTCATTGGAGGCCCATCTTCCTACTCCTCTGACTCACCCAAGGACAGTGTAGTTGCTGTACTTATGGCAAATAATAACTCTCTATCACACAAAAACATGGAAGCATTGAAAGTTGCTCACCCTTGATTATTCTGAATTCCCAGTCCGTTTCTTTTTTTTAAATCTCAAGAGGTACAAAAGAGCCATCTTGTTATTAAACCAAATGTATTCAAATGCAATACTCATGGCAGGCAAGGCATTGTCAGTTCCACAAAATATTTTTGTCCTTGTCCTCTAGATTATTCCTCCTTGGAAATAATATTATTTTCTTACATAAAAGCATACTACAATTCTTCCTTCAATTTCCTTCTTTAGTATAATAAACACTGCAAGAAGAATCAGACAATTCATTATTAATTAAAACAAATTTAATATTATTCACATAAGCCTGCTTTGAATCAAATCCCATCTACAATGTAAAAAGTAATTTGAGGAGGTTAATCACAATTGGGATACCCTAAAGAACATTTAAAACGCTAAAGCCTTCAAAGTAAATAATAAATAATAAATAGCATTTGTATTGCGCACGTCCGTACTCGAAACAAGCTCTATGCGTTTTACACTATATTATTACCCCTGCAGACCATAGAACACTCAGAAACATTCTAAGCTTCCCAGGAAGCATACAATGCAAGCAGCAGGTTAAGCGCTCAAACACTAACAAACTAACAAGATCTTTCACTGTCTATAGCTGGGTACCCATTCCCACCTGGGTGAAGTGGGGAAAATTCGTGTAAAAAAAGTGCCATTCCCAAGGACACAACGTCGGGCCCGTGGCTCGAACCCCTGAACCAGCAACTTCACGAGTACGAGTCCGGTAGCCTATATCATTATGTTGTGGAGTTGTACATGCAGTTCACAGTGACTCAGCTTAATGATGACTCGATCTCACTACAAACGAATTAGGACACCAGTGGTAATACTGAAAAAAAAAGAAAAACTCCAAGGTGGTCCACTGCTCACTAGGAGGAAGATTCCAGGCCACAAACAGTGAGACACTAACCTTGATGGCAGGAACAATTTCATCATACCAGAAGGGCAGCACACGTGCCACAGTGTCCTTCAGACATTCACAGGCTGGGATCATGCCCTGATCCATATTCTGCGGGAATAGGTAACAGTTGGTACAGTGAATATGCTTACTAGACAATAGGGCAGGTGATGTAGAAAGACTAAAAAATCTGTAACACGTAACACAGTGACATGACATAATACAATGCAATACTAGCAGTCTAAATTGTAATCAATATATCTGCTCATGCACTAAAGTAAAGGTTACCTTGCCACATGAGCACAGACCCGTCATTCCACCATACAATTTCCTAATATGATTTTTATCTTTCAGACTTGATATGCCTCTCCTCACTTTAGTAATCAACTACACAGCTTTACACATTTGCTACTTAACTGGAACTTGCAACTTTTTACAATGACCCATCTAGCTCAGTCCAATGGTCTTGGTCCATACATCTCAACAATATTTTTTTATCAGTCAAATTCAAAACAACCAGTTAAAAATTGATACCACACACTAAACATGTACCGATATATTATAATTTATCTCAACATCTAAAACGATGCCTTCAAACCTATCAATATATAATCCTAAAGCAGACCTGCCACTCTGAAATCTGAAATTTGGGATATAATGAGAGTAAAAAAACAGAATCTGGTGGAAAAAAATCGGGATCAACGGCAAATCAGTCCAGAGAAGGGAGTGGGTCCCCTTTTGTGGGGCAAGCATGCCAGACGAAACTTTTGCAGAAATAAGTCCATATTTGGGCCTTAAAGTAGAAGAAAAAACTGAAAGAAAGCATGTATGCGAGTAAAGAGTTGGAAAGACTAGGGGATAGCAGGTTGCAGTGATGCTGACATTCTCATAGTCTTACACATAACCCGAATCATCCATGCAATAGGCGCATGTCTTCATTCAGTAACAAAGTTTGACTTCAATCGCGAATATACTCAAGGCACTCCCCTCCCCCCCCCCCGCCAAAAAAAATCGTGCCATCCTGCACAGCACAGACCCTAGCTCCAATCAAATCTAAAATTTGGTTCCAAGGTTGTGTAAAATATTTATTTATTACTTGCTCCTTTAGCCTCAATAAGTAGGTGTATCACGTCAAGCACTTCAAGCCCAAGTGTCTGAAAATACCCTCCCCCGGGTCGTTCCACACTTAAGTCCCAAAAGACACCTCTACCAAGGCCACCATTGTGAAAGAATTTTGCTGACCGTGACAACCAACGGTCCACAGAACAAGCGCTACTCACATGAGGTCATGTCACGTGATGCGAATGAGCGTTTGAAAGTTTCACTGATGGTCTCGACTAACAAGAACTTGGACGAAGCCTGTTTTTAAAGCAACGGCAGAACAACGGATAACATTGATTATTTTTTAGACCTACATATTATATATAATTGTTACAGTAATCAAGTCATCATCGAAGAATCCTGGGTAACAAAAGCGAAAGTAGATCTTGAAAGTATCCAAGCTGGAATTCAAAATCAATAATACTTCGGTTCAAATTGAAATAACATGCGTGAGTCAACTACTGGATCCGGTATTGATGTTTTAGAATATAGCGTTCTAAGTTCCTACTGATAAAAAGTCAAATCAATTCTCTCAAGCAAAAGAGAAAGCAGAAAAAAATGTTGGATTCTTTTTTTCTAAGAATCGGACACAACAGACGCAACAACAAAAAAATCAGGATACACACTTTCGAAATCGGGGAAAATCAGGATGCTTGAGATTTGGAGCAAAAAATTGGGAAATCCCGATTAAATCGGGATGAGTGGCAGACTGTTAATTATATAAAACACACTCAAAAGAAAATAATCATAAACTTACTTGAAACTGCTTCATTTTTCCAGACCAGCGTTCGTCTGTGGGTTCCAGAGCAGGGGGTGGAATATCATAAGAACGTCTCCAGATCTGTCATTGACAGACAAGACAAATTAGAGCTTAAAATTTTTTTAGTCATTTGTTCAGGTTAGATTTGTTTCTTCACAATAGGTAGGTAAAAAAGGGTGATATGGGCAAAATCATGTCTTTAGAGAATCTTCATTCCTGAAATCAGGCACTAAAAAGATTGCACAAAACTACAATTACTTGAGCAAACAAGTGATTTTTGCCCTGCCTACTACTAGTACTTAAGTATTCAAGTGCAAAGACTTCAACGTTCACACACTCTTGTCACAGGAACAGCACTACATACCTTTACTTGATCTTCTCCATACTTTGCAGCAGTCTCAGATTTATTCAGTCCCTGAAGACCTCCATAGTGACGCTCATTGAGACGCCAGGATCGGATCACAGGGAGGTAGTGAGCATCCAGCTCCTCCTGAATCAGGTACAGAGTCTTGATGGCCCTCTTCAGAACACTTGTGAAGGCAAGGTCGAACTCAAAGCCTTGTTTCTTCAAGAGCTAAGGGACACAAAAAGAGAAATCATGAGTATCTAATACTAATAGTGCAGTAGTATAATGGAAAGAGGTGTATGCATACCAGTGTGATGATGGACAGAACCCTCTATGTTATAACAATATATTTTTTAAAATCACAGGCGGGGTTAAAGACGGTCTATCTTTCATTTTCTCCTTCTAGATCAACTCTATTGGGGCACCATTGTTAATCACTGCAGCTTCATTCTGGTATCAATTATTACAGAAACTTTTGACATAACAGCAAGGCCGTCGTTATTCGGACTCGAGTCCGAATAACATTTTTTCATATTCGGACTCGAGTCCGAATAAAAAAAATTCTTATTCGGACTCATGATATTCGGACTCGGGTCCGGAAAAAAGGAAGTGTCTTCGTTCTATAGTTCTAACGTTCAATGCTTCCAATTTTCCGCCATTTTTTAGTCCCCCCCCCCCCCCCCCACACACACACACACCTTTTCTGCCGATCCGATGCCCGCCGCCTCATTGATACGCCCCCCCCCCCACCCCCCATGTTTCCCACTTTCTTTGTTGTAGAAAAAGGTGAAATTGAAGATTGGCAGATCACCTGGCACCTGCATATTATTATGAGCTGTTTATCCAGAAAAAGTTGTGTTGCTGTGTAGAGCTGAGCATACGGCAACTTTTGATTCCATAGACCAGCGCACAATTTATTACGTAGATCTACGTCAAGACTAGCGTATTATTGTAATAATGATCAGTTGCCGGGGGGAGACTGACGCGTATGCGACGTTCAACGCCCGGACCAATAGTGCCCCCCATCCCCCCACCCCCCTCCCCGACACTGCCACTGCCACACGTGTGCAGGCCGCCCATCCGACCCCGACACATGCTAACGAGCCATCTTTAATTGCTTCTGATGACTTCTTGACAAATAAACATTTATTAGAAGCGCTATAACTTTTCAGGCCGGCCTCAAATTCATCGTAAGATTAAAACTCGACTCCTGCACAAAACGCCTTTTTGCCCGAAGTGATCCCGGTCTCTACCCAGCCTGAGGCGAGTCACGAGTGAGGCAGGACAGGAAGCCGGAGTCACGAGTCACGGGAAGTTGGAAGTGATGTCATGCTGGACAAGAATCAGAGTCCGAATAACTTTTTTTCATATTCGGACTCGAGTCCGAATAATAATCACTTCGTAACAGCAAAGAGAAAAAAACGGGAGGGCCGTACGTATAGCCACTTCGTCTATTTTATTTAAGCCTCCTTCCTATACTTGATACTCATGCCCATGTCCATGGCATGTTATTACAGTTATGAACTTATCTGATTTGTACTGGATCATTCATCAAATCTCTCAAACACCTAGAATCTACCCCAAACACATCTGCTTTGTCTAGAGATCTCTAGATCTAGATTCTAGATCTAGATCTAATTCAGAACTCACTCAAGGTAGGCTACATGATCAGTAAATACACCGCAAAGCCGGACCAACATGATGATGTTCAGAGATGAGCTGTGGATGATGGAAAACAAGAATCGACAGATCTTGATCCAGTGCCAGGAGGATTGCGGAGAAAAGCAGGATACTACTCTCGTATCTGGGTTTCACGTAGATCTAGAATCTAGATCTAGATCTAGATCTAGATCTAGAATCTAGACTTCTAGATTTAGCCACTTTTCCAGCGAAGTGAAATTCAATTGAAATTCATGAAATTTACTTTCAAGTAAAGGATGCCGAAATGGGAGGATGTGGATTGAGTTCTCCATCTCCAGAACCCGCTCTTCAACTCTTGTCCTTGTTTCAAAGTACAATGACTGTATAAAAGTAATGGATCTAGAATCTAGATCTAATCTAGAAATATCTAGTGATCTAAATATATCTAGATCTAGATCTATATCTAGATCTAGATATCTAGATCTAGATCTAATAAAACAAAGAAATAAAGATACTTACCTCTCCTCCGTATTTGGCTTCATTTATTCCCGTGTCCGACAAATCGGCATCGTACCACCCGCAAAACAAATTCTTTTGATTGTATTGACTCTCTCCGTGTCTGACAAGGACAAGCTTGTATTTCGTAGTCATTGTGCAGTGATTACAGAAGGCGGTACCTAGACAGAAGCTGCAATTCCTTCGACTGAAAGCTTCTGAACGTCAGTGAGGTCAGTGATGTGTATGGATGACAAAATGTAAAGGAACTTAAGGAAGGAAGGTAACCCGAGGCCTACCGTTAGACATCGACCTTGATGATTCCCCGGCTCAAAGACCTTGAACTTCCCTCTAAGGGAGAGCATCCTAGATTTTTAAATGTCAAAGCGATTTCAATGTCAACGGTTAGCTCCCATGAATTTCCAGCACATCATCCAACAAGAAAGTAAAATAATATTTATTGTGTATACCGAAAAGACCATTGCTGTTAAATTTTGAAAAGAAATCCAAAACATCAAGGACTTTTCGCTCATCCACATGACAGTCATCAAGGCTCAATACGTCTTTGATATTTGAACTAACAAAATGTCATTGTGTTTCTGGTCTGGAAAAGTACTCAACGTAGTGCAAAGACGGCGGAAGATGCAATCTATGTAACAACATGCTCTATTCAGGCTTGTCCGTCTTTCCGCTAGGCAGTGGCGGTGATTAGTGAAGGGCTTGTGGATGGGACCCCCCCCCCCCTTGCCCCCCTTCCAACTCTATCACAAAGTAAATGAAAGTTTCTTAAGTTAAATAATGAAATAAGCAGTTGAAACGGTTATGGTCGCACGCAATGAACATGGAGTGATCAACTTGGCAGCTTGCTCTTGCTCCACTCTAAGACAGAAGATACGTCCGTCTTGGCGCCAATCGCTGTGTGTCACCGCTTACACCCACAGTAACCTAACAGCCAATCAAATGTCTTTAGGGCTCAGCACAGGATGAGCCCTTTCCACAGAATTATATATACTACACACTTGTTTATAGAATTTTGTGGCCCATTCCCACGACCCTTTCGTTGTTGTGCAAAGAAGACTAGAAGACACAAACAAACAAACAAACAAACAAACAAACAAAACAGTAAAAAAAAATATAATAAACAAAACAAACAAACTAAAAACGGTGGGATCGGGTGGTCGTCAATTTTGGGGCATAATAATATATAGTTATCATTATAATCTTTAAGGTGGTTTATTTGTCTTTAATGCGATAAAGAATACGAACTTTTCTGAAACAGAAGTCGAGATATTTGCAACTGAAGAGGGCGGGGGTCACCTATCGTTGGGGGTAAAATAAGCGACAACAATGACAATGGCAATGACAATGACAATCTTTATTCATCTCGCAGGAAAAAACTTGTCTTGGTCGTTAACAATAGCAGTAGACGCGAAAATGGCCGCAAAGTTTTCTTACTTCCGAATCTTGAGTGTTATTGTAAAAATGCACATTTACATTTTCTGGGCCTAATTATTATAGTCTATCATTCGTTCTGATAGTCAAAACATGAAGTCATAGATTTTCTCAAACGCTGTGTGTGTTAGCATTCCAGGAGGTTTGATCACATTTAGCCTACTACTCATATCACACCACACTCACTCACACACACTCTCTCTCTCTCTCTCTCTCTCTCTCTCTCTCTCTCTCTCTCTCTCCGATCTCGCACTTTATGATGGTGATGGAGTTCAACGCATTATGGTCTGGTTTTTCACGTTTTCAAATTACACTGAACTGTTTGATTAACTAACTAAAAGATTAATTAACAATTGAATTCCAATTCTTATTGGTACATACGCAATTGCTGAGATGGACGAAACGGGAGTGCTATGTAAGACTGCAACTACACACCACACGGACACATCACTCAGAATGAGGGGAACAGCAACGGCTTGTAATCGATTAACCCAAATTTTAATGTTGAAGAAAGGAAATAGAGCAAATTGTCATTAGAAATCTGCATTAGGACATGGTAATAATAATGGCATTTTTATAGATCTAGCGCTTATCCACGCTCTACGGGCTGCTCTATAATATGCTTAACAACTGCATGTGTTAAGAAAGGAATTCCCTCATGAAAACAGCAGACAGTGATCCTGACTGACTCATACATACATACATACATACATACATACATACATACATACATACATACATACATACGGGGGCTCTCGTGGCCTAGAAGTTAAAGTGTTCGCCTCTCATTCAAAGGTCCTGGGTTCGAATCCGGGTAGCGACCGAAACTATTTCCTGTCGTCTGCTTTCGTCTCCACTTTATGCCATCGCCCCCTCTTCTCCTACTTTCCCCCTTTTCTGGGCTCCTGACTCTTTCTGCGGCCTTTCTACTGCTATTCCTTGACTCCTTCTTACTGCTGTCTTTCAGCCACTCCCCTGATCTTCTGGTAGGAAAGATCTTCACCTGGCCTTCTCGGACGAGGGCGAAAAATCTCGGAGGGCCCGTGTGCTAGTTGCACACGTTAAAGATCCATTGGTGGTCTAAAATTGATAAGAGTAGGCTTCGGCCGGCATCCAGGCAAAATTCAAAATTTCCTACCAACTGAAAAAGTTTAAATGTGTCCCGCGCGCTCATAATATGACCTTATGAAGTTACGGGCGCGGTAAAACACTTACACTTTAAAAAAAATACATGCATACACACACACACACACACACACACACACACACACACACACACACACACACACACACACATACACACACACACACACATACACACACATATTTACACACATACACATGCAAACACGCATACTCACGAAAACGAATACATACATAATCATCAATACACGTACACACATACTCATATATTTTCCAGGTTTATTTATTCTTCTGTCCTTCGCAATACGGGAGCTCAGACGCAGCTCTAATTTGATAAATGTGTTTTAACTGCTGAGTTCCTTTTTCTCTGTTTTTATGCTCAGCTAAATTTAGTCCTGATGATGTTTGGTCTTTGGTATCCGTGCTACTTTGGACACTTGTGTTCGTTCAAGCTCTCGCCGGACCAGAAAACTTTCCCTGGAACAAGATTCCACCATTGCGCACGTCCCGGAGGAAGAAGAGGAAGGGTCTGTCTGCCCTGACCACCACAGGCCCGTCCGGGTCAATGCGCAGTGACATCTTAGACATCACCATTGCGGTGGCTGCAGAGGCGGTGGTGCCTCTCTCGTTGACCTGAAATATGACGTCATTCGATGAGAAAGTTGTTGTTGTTGTTGTTGTTGTTGTTGTTGTTGTTGTTGTTGTTGTTGTTGTTTAGGGCAGTTTTTTTTAATACTCCATCTATGTGGCTTGGTCACGATGGAGCGTAAGTGTGTGTGGTTTAAATCTATACGTTCTTACTATCTGAGCGTCTAGGTTTAACACCTATATCAGCACTATTTGAATTTTTTAAAGAGGCAGGACCTAATGTACAGTCCGTCTCCGATAGGGTTGAGCAAACCACGCTGAGAGCCTTGACGACTCTGTACAACGATCCGGGCTCAAGTGTGCTCTGTCTGGGATTCAAACCTGATGTAGCTCAGGGAAACTCCGCGGCCCAGCATGCTACCAACTGCGCCAACACGACACTTGTTTGTTTGGAGGAGTTCCAATCCAGACAGTTTACGCCCCCATCGACACAATTTAGGTCGCTAAGAGGGCGGTCGTTTATGCTGCCTGTCAGAGCCGACCCAAGTTGAGAGGTATCCACATCCCAGCGGAAAGACTGAGATATTCCAAACTATCACCAGTCCTGTGAACATGACGGTGAGCCATCTAATCACTATACCACAGACGCGTTTGCTAGCCTCCAGAAGTTGCTTTTTTTTTTCTTTCTTTTCATTCATTCATTCATTCATTCATTCATTCATTCATTCATTCATTTTTCCAAATATTTATTTATTTATTTATTTATTTGTTTATTTATTTATGTGTTTATTTTTTATTTATTACTCGTAAATTCATGTATTTCTTTGCTCCTTAGCCTATACCAAACAAACGTACACTAGTAACCTGAACATAACGACATATATACAAAAACTGATGCTTTCCCTTACCTAAAAGACAGCTTTGTGGAAGACATCAAAGATAAGATCTATACGTTTTCCCTTACCTCAATAACAGCTTTGTGGAACACATCAGAGATATACGTTTTCCCTCACCTCAATGACAGCCTTGTGGAAGACATCAGAGATAAGATCTATACGTTTTCCCTTACCTCAATGACAGCCTTGTGGAACACATCAGAGATATACAATCCCAGCTTTGTGGAACACATCAGAGATATACGTTTTCCCTCTCCTCAATAACAGCTTTGTGGAACACATCAGAGATATACGTTTTCCCTCACCTCAATGACAGCCTTGTGGAACACATCAGAGATATAGGTTGGCACATCTCGGACAATCCCTGTGAAGTTTGCGTTGTCTTTGTCGAAGGCCAAGCCCATCCCCAGATCTGTCAGGGCTTTCTTCAGGGAAAATCCAGACTCTATTCTGAACTTTGGGAGGTACAGGTCGACTTCCCTTGTGTGCAGACCTTCCAGCAAGGTCAAGGTCGCTCCATCCTGTGACGTCAGATTTCCCTCAAGGGTGGCCAGGGAGGTGCCGGCGTGGGGCAGCACCACGGTCATTGAAAAATTGCCGCCATGGAAAGGGAGGTCCACCACATGGGCCTGAGGGGAAATAACTCTTGTGTGAGGGGAAGTAACTTTTGCAAGAGGGGAAGTAACTCTTGTCTAAGGGGAAGCAACTTTTAAGTTAGGGGAAGTAACTGTTATCTAAGGGGAAGTAACTCTTGTCTGAGGGGAAGTAACTCGGTTCTGAGGGGAAGTAACTCATGTTTTAGGGGAAGTAACACTTGTCTGAGGGGAAGTAACTCTTGTGTGAGGGGAAGTAACTCATGTCTAAGGGGAAGTAACTCTTGTCTGAGGGGAAGCAATTCTTGTCAGATGGGAAGTAACTCATGCCTGAGGGGAAGTAACTCTTTAGGGGTAGTAACTCAGCTCTGTGTGTGCGTGTCTGTCTGTCTGTCTGACTGACTGTCTTTTTATCTGTCAATCTGTCTGTCAGTCTGTCTGTCTGTCTGTCTGTCTGTCTGTCTGTCTGTCTGTCTGTCTGTCTGTCTGTCTGTCTGTCTTTACGTCTGGTTGTCTCTCCGTCTATCCCTCTTCATGTCTGTATCTCTATCTACTATCTCTCTCTCTCTCTCTCTCTCTCTCTCTCTCTCTCTCTCTCTCTCTCTCTCTTTCTCCACTGGCCGCACTGGGTTCGATTCCCGTTTCAGGTGAAAATTTCTATTGAGTATCCAGCGTCTTTCTGTCGAGATGTTGCATCCCTCTCAGCCCGGATTGGCATTGACAGGCAGGGTCGGAAGCCCGTCTCCTAAATTGTGGCGATGTGGGCGTAAAGACACGGACATTCTTAATTCTTACATTAACTTCATGGTCGGCTGACGAGAAACTTTAGGTGGGTTGTTGGCGGGTGCTCTGATGTGGTTTTCTCCGCCTTTCCTATCGAATGTCTATCGTCCTTCATTGTGTTTTTTTTGTTACTCTTCTAGCATCTGTAATGTTCGGAACTCACATGACCTTATTTTGTTGCTGGTGGCGTAAAAAAAGGCCGGCTCTGTTTCTCCGACCGCTCGGGAAAATAAACTCGGAACTCTATTTCTCAGAACGGTTTCCGTTCTTGAGATTTGTTGATAATTTGCGAAAATAGTGGCGTGCTTGTGTGTGTGTGTGTGTGTGTGTGTGTGT